GTGGTATGTTGCCATCCCAACCGAGTCGGAGGGTGCGGGTGCGTCCGCTGGTGTCAGTTTTGCACAGTGTGTGGTTGTGCTGGTGCCAACTCCACTGTAGTGTGTGGAATGTGTTTTGTAATGCCGGGATGTGTTGTAGGTGCTGGGGTTGTTGAAGCCATTGCCGAATGTGCTGTAGCCACGGGTGAGTGGTGATTTGCAAACGGCTGTACCAAATGGGTAGTCTCAAGTTGGCTTCAAGAAGGCAGTATGCCGGGTCGTCCTGTGGGTGGAGTTTTGCTGTCCAGATGTTGTGTCGAGAGGCTGTGTGTGGGATCCAGCCTTGGAGAGCATGTATTGCGTGAAGCTGGAGCTGCCTTTGTTGTGTTGGTGTGATGGAGGCAAGTGGTCCTGCCCAAGTGAGGCAAGGAACGGCTGTGCTGCGGAGAAGTCGTCTCCGGTGATGGAAAAGCCGTGTTGCTTGCTGTATGCGTTTGGCCCGGTGAAAGAACTTGTCCACCGTTGCAGTGGGTGTAGTGACCTCTTGGCTGTGGAGGTTGTAAACCAGACCCAGAAGTTTGCTGGTTGTGACACCTTGTGGGAAATTGTCAGGTGTGAGAGTATCCAGAATAGGGACGAGACGCACATCCGGAGTTGCGAGTTGTGTCTTGGAGGTGTTTTCCTGGAATCCAAGAATAGCGTCAATCACTCTGGATTGGGCAATAACCCGGGGGAGAAGCTCACGGGCCCACGCATCCAAATGTTGCGTGGTGGCTGGTGCTGCTACTGTGTGTATGCCATGGTGCCAAATGTTCATGAGAGTGGCCAAGAGCAATGGGCTGAAAGGGCACCCTTGTAAGATGCCGTGGGTTGTGGTCTGCCAGATTGGTGTCATTGCTCCGTTGTAGAGGAAGAGGCGACGACATCCACGGTAGGAAGCCAAGATGGTCTGACAAAGAGGGTCAGGAGCCCCGTGGTGTGAAAGTGCTGTGTGCCTGCATGATGTGGACTGTATCAAAAGCCTTGCTGAGGCCTTGTGACAGGAGGATGAAGTCCTCGGCATGGTGCTCCAAGAGGTTGTGGAAGAGACGAACATGCAACGCAATACCGTCCCTGCCAGGAAGCCCACCGCACAATGCAGGAGCCGCCCAGTGGTGGTCCAGGGGGCCATGGCCCGTACCGTTGCAGATGCAGCGATGCGCCATGCAATGCCGGTGATGCTGATGGGTCGGGTTCCCCCTGTGGGTTTGGGGAGGAGGACCACCAAAGTTTGCAGCCATGATGGTGGGATGCTTGCTGTGTGGATGATGGTGTGCCAAAGATCTCTAAAACAGTCCCACCATGCAGTGGGAAGGGCCAAGAAGTGGTCAGACTGCCAACCGTCTCCCCCAGTCGCCTTTCCGCGGCTGCGTCGAGCGGCTTGTATGAGGTGTTTGGTTGTGACATGGATAGTGGGACTCGTGTTGTTAGGTGGCGGAAGCCAAGGGTGCAGTAGTTGTGTGTGCTGTTGCTTGGCTTGCAACCAAGGTGTGTGGAGTGTGCCGACTGGATTGGCGTTGTTCTTCATCTTCTTCATGTGATCCAAAGTGATGATCTTGAAGTTGGTGTGCCTTTTGCGATTGACACCAACCAGGCCACCAGCCCCGCAGAATTGGTACCCAGGAGAATGCCAAGGTTTCCGTTTAGATGATCTGGTAAAACTTATCCATGTGCTCAATGAAAGAATCTGCAAGAAGTTGTTCAGTTCGATTTGTCCCCCAAAGGAAACGTCTGAACATTGCATCGCTGGGAATGGGAACTTGAAGAAGACAAGTCCAACCATGATCCCAATCGACATTGATTTCCTCACACTTCAGGCATTTTGTGTTGCAGCCATGCGCAATAGAGGCCATCTTAGGACTCTTCACAGCACCAATTGCAAAACTCCTTCGTGAAGGAGAAGAAGATGCCCACTTCCTAGTCAAATTGATCCTATCCATTGTCATGTATGGGAGTTGCAAATCAGCTATTTCATGCCGTCCAGAATCTCTAAACTCAGTCCATGAAGACCATCTAATTGAATCCCCAAGCTTGTGTGCAATGCTCTTCCATTCTTTTGGATGTAAAATATCCAGTTCAAGAAAATGTCCACAATGGTCGTGTCGCCATGTTCCCCCACGCTTGTTCCATCCATAGTGCTCGAAGCCATCCAAAACATGCTGGTTGAGTGTAGTTTCACAGTAGGCAGTGTTATGACCAAGCCTGATGAGCTCAGCGTTTCGACAAGCCAGAAGTTTAACCTGTTTGATCCACAGTGTTGGATAAGCCTCAAGATGAGCACCACAAATCAATCTGCGCAGGGAAGGTGGGGAAAAGGAGATATTGCCAAGAGCTCTCCAGATCGCCGTGTTATAGTCATTGCAAATGGTCTTGGATGGAAAGCCAGATATCCATCCATAGCTCATTGCTGTGCGCGCAAGGCTCACTAAATCATTCAGTCTGATCTTCTTGTTCGGCAACAAGCCAACACGCTTGGAGACAAGGATTGCTTTTTCAAATCGGTCCTTGTTAGGAGACACTTTATTGTATGTCCTCTTGTTGGGTTGTCCAATCAAGGCGCCAAGAACCTCCATAGATTTTGGACCACCAGGAGAGACAGTTTGGGTCTTGGCTTCATTTTCTAGCAAGTGAAAATCATCTGCAAAATGTCTCCAACGGTCCATGGAGTCTCGTAGCAGTGCTTGGCTGTCACAAATCATTGTTCTATCATCCATCCAAATACATTGATGGAGGCTACCAGGCTGATGATGATCTCGCACGCGCTCATGACCTACCCACAGCAGCAATGAGAGAGCTAATGGTGACGCAGGATCTCCTTGTGGAATGCCAGTCTGATTCTCTAAGGTGTCGCCAACATGCTTGTCGTAGTGGATCCATTTGAGGCATTTCAACCAATGGTCATAGACCACTGTGATCCAGGGTCCAAGGGCAGGGATGCCTTCGCAAACTCCGTCCCTCAACATCTTGATGTCAACCGTGTCAAAGCAGTGGCTGAAGTCCAATGTCGCTCCATGCTTCCAAATCTGCAAAAGAGCGTCAGCCACAGGCCTGAACTTCGGGGCCTTGCGTCGTCTACAAATGATGTCTTTGGGCATTTGAGCTTGTAGTGAATCTAATAATGGAGAAATGATCCATATCGCTGAAAAGGTTCTCCACCAGATACTGAAGACAGTGATTGGCCTAAGTCCCTTAATGTTGACAACGCCCTTGGATACCTTGTTAGCCTTTGGGATGTAGGTGACCTTAACCTCCGCCAAAATTGAAGGAGTGATGCCAAGGTCAATCCAGAGTTTGAAGTTCTGACCAATCTCCTTCATAAACTCAGGTATTTTCGCAAGAAGCTTGATCTCGTAGTGATTCCATTGGTCAAGGCCAGGACCACCCTTTGCTTTTGAGATAGCTTGTTGAAGGTCTTTCAGGTTAGGCGCTCTGCCATGCACTCTGTTGCGGCAGCGATTGAGAAGGCGAGCAATTTCCCTGACTCGTTGATGTCTTTGTTGATCTGTCATAGCAACACTCCTTTTGAGGTTCCTGTCAAACTCCTGGATGAGCTCGACTGCAGTAGGCTTGGATGTAGAATTCTATCCTGATGTTGAACTTGAGGATAGCTGATTTTCTTCTTGTTGACCCAGTTTGCCCTATAGGTGGAATCAGCAACAATTTTCCTCCTCCATTTCCTAAATGCACGTTCTCGATCTTCTGCTTCCAATTTGAGTATTTGTTCCTCACAAACTTCTGCAGAGTGACAAAGTCAAAGCTTTCAACATGTTTGCCATAGAGCCTGCGCATCAAACAAAATGAGACGTGGTTGAACTTGCCTTTCCTCAGAAGAATCACCAGTTCCTGAGCCAGATTCAACTTGTTTCTATGTTTCCTCCTAGCCATAGATGTGCGGAATTGAGGTGACTGTTGATCCCAAGAGTGTTTCTCCACAGAGAGGCGAGACTTTTGGATTTTGTTCGCAAGCTTTTCAACCCTCCTGATTTCCCATTTGTTGTCAAAGTGGTCAGGTATGCAAAGAATGGCCAATTTGTAAGCAGTTTGGAAAATCGTCAAAGCTTTGCAAATGGTAAGCCTCCAAGTGAAGTCAACAATCTTTTGGTCATGGTCCTCATCATCAAATTGACTTGGAATTTGTGCGCCATCGTCAGCTAGATTGCAGGCATGTTGCCAGTTGGTGGCTTTCTCAATATCATGAACCTGATGGAAAAGGAGCTCCCAATCTTTTGCACCAAGCCACATAGGCTTTTCAAAGTTGGAGCCCTTCTTGAAACGGTGAACATTGAAAGAATTGAGCTCCAATTTCACAAAGGTCTCCATGATTTTGTTTTCAGAAATCTTGGCCTCCAGCGCACGAAACTTGAGGTGAGGAATGTTCGAAATAAAGAAATCGATGAGCCTGTGTCCTTTCCATTTGGAGGAACTTTCAAAAGATTCAGCAGTGACGCAGCCATACATGGTCGCCAATGTTGCAACAAGACATTCATGGGGCTCTTGGTTCCAATCGCCGCAAAGCAAAAATTGGTCCCTGCCAGTCCAGTCTGATGAGAAGCTCTTCAAACTCAATAGCATGCTGGTGGATCTCACCATAGACAGGGGGGCAATAACTATTGATTAACTTGAAGTGCTATAGCAGCATATCCACGTTGGTTGCAAAATTCATCGCACATCCTAGATTGGACATGGTTGGAAACCAGTGTAAGAACGCCATTGCATTTTGTCCCATGGATGACCGTGGATGACGCATATGCGGTATATCCCAAAATCGAAATTCTTCCCAAAGTAGCTTTCCATTCTTCAAGGTTGCAGTGGATCTCTTGCGCATGGATCACGATAGGTCGATGCTGCTTTTTTGTGGTTTCAATAAGGAAAAGGAGTCTCCAAAAACCAGGCAAACCGCCTGTATTGATTGTCCAAACTTTCTGATCTTCAGCCTCCTTAATCTCTGTGCCCCCCCGGAGGCAATGGAGGGGGTCAAGCTTTCAATAGTTCTTGGAGTACTCCTTCTTTCTTTTGATGTACTCTTGGACGTTTCCTTCAATCAATTCTTTCTCGTTCTTGTTGAGCAGCATGATCTTGTACAACTTTGCACTGCCGATCTCCTCAACGCAAGTTTTCCACCAAGCCCTAGAAGTAAGAATGGACCTAGTTGGGTTGTGATGGCCAATGCACTTGCTTCGCCACTGTGTTGTGTGTTGGCTCACTCTCCAGCACTTTCTGCAAATGAGATTTGTGGTCCCACCAGATTGCCATGAACGCTGGAAATTCAGCCTGACAGGGTCATGGCCACAAGCCTTTGCATCCTTGATCGCTTTGTTCCTCAATCCTTCCAGTCTCAGCTTCTTGTGCTCAACCTTGGAAACATTCTTATAGCTTTGCCTCTTCGGTCTTCTCTTCAAACTTGTTCTCCTCTTGTCGCTTTCGTGAATCGCTGTTTGGATCCTCTCTTGTTGCTGGGTGTTGAGCTCGTGGTCATGAAAAAGCTTTTCTTTGCCAAATTCCTTGAGAAACTTCTTCCAAAGGTTCACTGATGGAAGTAATCTGGATCTGGATTGCATTTCCTCTCCTTCGCAGACAGAATTCCAAGTTCTCGCGTGAGATGCAACCCTCCAGCACTTTTTGCAAATGACATCATAGGCTTTTCCTTTGCTTCCAATGAGTCTGGAAGGTGCGTGGCCATGATCTTTAGCTTTGGCATCCGCTTTCTTCCAGATGCCCTGAATCATCTTTTCTCTATGGATCTTGCCGTCTCCCAAACAAATTCCTCCCTCTTTCTTCATCCTCAAGGCGTAGAGTGCTTTCAAAGTGCATCCTTTTGGCGTTTTTGTGCATGACTTCAAATGATGCTTCCAGGTTTTCTTCCTAAGCGCTGCGTTGCTGGGATTGATAGCAGCGCCAAGCTTGCAAAAGGGGCAAATGATCTTCGTATCTTGCTTTGGAATCTTCTGGAAAGGAATCGGTTGCAGCAAAACCGCAATGCCAAGGCCATGACGCCGCCCTGATGCAGAGACCCCTTCTCTGATGTTCTTCTCCTTACTCTTCTTGGTCTCAACAGCATCGAATTTGTCAAGGTGAGTTCTGATATCTTGTGTTCTTTTCCCCGGGTCTGCAATATGGCACTGAAACTGACAAAAGGGACATGCCCATTGACAAACCTTGGGGAGGTCGATGTCGCAATTGTTCTTGTTCTCAACATTCTTTCTCGCATTGCTCAAAGGAGTTGCCGGAGTCTTTGGCGTTCGAAGGATCTCATGAATGTTAAAAGACATCTGGGTCTTCACACTCTCAGGCGTGTCCCATTTCTTCTCAGGAGTGGTCCAAGGAGTCGGTGACTTGAGAAGGTCATCAATGGTCTCTTTCTGAGATTGGATGCCAGTCATGTCAAATGGATCATGCTGGTTACGGCTTCCACCACCTCTGATGTCAACCTTTTCTTCCTTCATGTTTTGAAAACCTTTGGATCTCCAAACTCTTCCATTCAAATGCAGTTCGTTGCCAGGGACCTGAATTTCATCAGGAATCAATGGCATGTAGTGGCTTCCAACTTTCGCAATGTGAATGACAGGAAACTGTTTCCACTCATCTCTTGGTGAAAATACCGCAATTTTTGTCCATGGCTCCTCCTTTTCCTCCATGTGTTGCCAAACGATCAAATGAACCTTCTTGATCTCAGCAACTGCCATCACACCATATTGACAAATCCATCTGTTTTCTCTATGCAGCGTCTCAGTTTTGAAAGTGCAAACGTCTTTCGCAGGGGGTCCATCTTCAGTCAAGCTTGTCCATGTCTCCTCAGGAATCCAATTTTCCTCCCAAGCACGGTCAATCTCACAAAGAAAATGCATAGCATGGTTCTTGAGGATCTTACCAAGACTGACAATCTTGGGGCTGGCCAACTTTTCAGGTTTTGTGTTCAGCGCCGCAATCTGAAAGGCAATGGATCTCCATCCACAATCTCCTTGACCACCAAGTTCAAGAGTGCGGAGGTTCATGCCTTTGGGTCCATCAATGCCACCTTTGCTAGCTGTGCTTTCCTTGTCAATTCCTTCTCCTCCACCAGCTCTGAAAATCTCATTTGTTTCTTTCGTGCTTTTGCTTTGTATGCCTTTTGAAGCCCAAGCCGAGCTGTTCTCAAGAAGGCTGTAATCGGGTTTCTGCATGGTGTCGGAGATCAAGGGCATGTAATGGCCACCGTCTTTAGCCAGATGGATGATGGGAAGACGCTTCTTCTCATCACTTGGAGAGATCACTGCAATCTTGGTCCATGGTTCACTGTCTCCACCTTTATATTGCCAAATGACAAGATGCACCTTTTTAACCGCTGAAACTGCCATCAAACCATAGCGACAAATCCACCTATTGTCTCGATGCAAAGTCTCCGTCGCAAAGGTCTTGAGGTCTTTCGCAGGAGGGCCATCTTCAGTCAGTGGTGTCCAAGCATCATCTGGGACCCAATGCTTTTGCCATTCTTTGTCGACTTCACAAAGATGAAAAAGTGCTTGACTTCTAAGGGCTTTACCAAGGATAGCAATTTTGGACATCACATTGTCAGCAAGGTTGCTTGACTTGGAGTTGATAGCTGCCAGTTGAAATGCAATAGAACGCCACCCACAGTCACCAGTACCCCCAAGTTCAAGTGTGCGGAGATTCAAGCCTTCTGGTCCAGGTTCTCCTCCACGCAGCTTTGATGGTTTGACTTTCTTTTTCGGTGGTGATGCAACTTTGCTGCCATCTTTAATATCATCCATGTTGGCATCAATCTGAGTTGGTTCCAAAACTTGAGTGGGGCCAACCTTTTCGTACTCAAAATGCTCGCTAAACCACCTTGGGCCGCTAATTTGAAAGGTCTCTTCCTTGGGCTTGCGGCTGCTTTTCCATGGAACAATTGACAAACGTCTGATTTGGTTGTCAATCTCGACCTGGTATGCGTAGACGCTCTGTTTCTCATTGCATTGTCCAACAATTTTCCAAGGACTGCCTCTTCCCCTAGGTGGTTGGGGTCTGGTCTTGAGTGTCCAACCTTGTTGTTTCAGCCAATCTTCAACCATTCCAGGGCCGTTGTAGGCTGGGACACCCCAGACAGCCCAAGATTTGTCGGTGATGTCTTCCTCCTTGCAATGATATCCAAGGTCATTGCCATCTCCACGTCGCCAAGTCAGAGGTGCACCATTTGCTTCTTCAGCTGTTCTTTGGAGATAGTCTTGATGGCTCTCCTCTTCCAACTTCGTGACTCAAAGTGCAGCAGGCTTGACGATGATATCCTGGGATAAACGGGTGACAAAGATCCCGCTCCTTCCAGAGCAGCTCATAATTTTGCCAACCTCCTTCTTGTCAATCAGGAGGTATCCAGTAAGCAAAGAATCAGAGCTTTCCCACTTGTTGGTTCTTGCTTCCTTCAAATCATCGCAAAGGAGATGTGCTGAATATTCTGGTTTGTGCATCAAAATCTGCTTGTTCTTCTCAGTAAGCCCAAAACTGCATCAATCATTGCAAGATTTCCCATCCAAGGGAGGAGAAGGCTCTGGCATGTCTCTGGAACATCATCAGTTCCAGTTCGCTTGGCCACAAGCAGCAATGATTTGTTGATCTTGAGATCATGGGCAAGTGCTTGGAGTTGTCGTAATTGTTGAACATTCTTAACGATAGCAATTTCCCCTCTCGGGATCTCCCCCTCCTCAAGTGCCTTGTGAATGGATTGCCAAGTGGTTTGCTGGGCTTTTGGCCATCTTCGAGAAAGATCGAAGCAAATCATCCTCCTTTTTGGTCTTTCCTTTTGCCTTAGACTTTCCTTTACCTCCTCCTTTTCCTTCTTCAGAATTGCTTCCGTTTGGGTTTTTCCACAAAAGCTTTGGCCTTGAGCTCCCAACTTCGAATTGCCAAGGTGGCCTTTCGCTTCTTTGATCAGCTCCTCAAGTTCTTTGGTCTCCTCAGCATTGGTCTTGTCCTTCAGGATGGATGCAATCTTGTCTAAGCAGTCACCGATGTCCCTTTTCTTTTTAGTGGCATTAGAGCCACCTGCTCCACCTCTAAAATCATCGTTTTTGGCCTCCTCCTCAAAATTGCCAGCTCCTCTGAGTTCTGGGAAATGTTGACAATTGCCGCCAAAGTTGTTGCAAAAAGCCTCAATGATATCCTCAGCTTCTTGATCCTTTTCTTCCTTCTTCTCAATCTTCTCTTCTTCCTTGTTCTTGTCAGGGAAAAATTCCTCATCCTTCTTCTCTGGCTCCTCTTCTTTCTTTGGATTCTTCTCAGGAACAGCGTGCTCCTCATCCTTTTTCTCTGGCTCCTCTTCTTTCTTTGCGTTCTTGTCAGGGACAAGTCCCCTTTCTTTCTTCTTCTCAAACCTCAAACTTGCTAGGGACAGTCTGTCCCTCGTCCTTCTTCTCTGAATCCTCTCGTTCATTTTTCTTCTCTGCGTCCTCCTCTTTCTTTTCGGTATTGTCGTGGACAGCAAGTCCTTCTTTTTCTTTCTCCTCAACCTCCTTCTTTTCATAGGTCAACGCAAATGAAGGTCCATTGTTCTACATCCTCCTCAAAGATCTTCAGGGAATGCTCATCTTCGTCGCTGTCACAAGGCTTCAACAGCTCCTCAATGCTGACGCTTTCCTCTTCAGCTTCTTGTGCATCAGCAAGCGTGTCTTCAATCGCAGAAGTAGTGAGCCATGTGTCCTCACAAATGTGCAAATTGATGTGCGCATTGTCGCTGGTTTCGTCAAAATCTTTGAGCCACTGTACAAATTCAGATTCATTCCAGTCGCACTCTTTGGCTTCCTGGATCCAATCTCCAATATAACTAGGAACAAAAGTTGTGAACTCTTTGTCAACCCCCTCAGTCGCAAAGCAGTTCTCGCCTTCATCAGACGATTTCCCAAAATTCTCAAAGTCGGACTCGGATGAAGTGTCACTAATGCAACTTCGGCTGAACATCTCGCAGCAAAAGGTCTTTTCATCCAGTCCTCCTCTACGTAAGTCAAAAAATTGACCAGGCTCAAGCTGATGCTCAGTTTTGCATTTGGTGCAAGTCAAAATTGCCGCTTCTTCTTCTGTTTTGGACTCTCGCCTCACCTCCTCAGTAGAGGTCCTTGCCAGTCAAGTCTGATGAGCATTTCCTCAAACTCCATTGCATGCTGGTGGATCTCACTGAACTTGATTCGAGACCTAGGAAAGAACGCCATTGCATTTGGTCCCCTGAGTGACCGTCGATAAAGCATATACAGAATAACCAAGAAACGAAATTCGTCCCAAGGTGGCTTTCCACTCTTCTTGGTTGCATTGAATCTCTTGCGCATGGATCACAATTGGCCGATGTTGTTTCTTCGTGGCCTCAATGAGAAAAAGAAGCCTCCAAAAGCCAGGCAAGCCGCCTGTGTTGATTGTCCAAACCTTTCTCTCTTCAGCCTCCTTAATCTAAGCTCCCCCCCGGAGGCAATGAGGGGGTGGAAGCTTTCAACAGCTCATCTTGGAATACTCCTTCTTCCTTCTGGTGTATTCCTGGATGCTTTCCTCGATCATCTCTTTCTCATTCTTGTTGAGCTGTATGATCTTGTAGAGCTTCTCACTTCCAATCTTCTCAGTGCAGGTCTTCCACCAGGCCCTGGAAGGGAGGATGGATCTGGCTGGATTGTGGTGGCCAATGCAGCTCCTTCGCCAATGTGAGGTGTGTTGACTCACTCTCCAACATTTCCTGCAAATGAGGTTCGTGCAGCCATCCGATTGCCGAGATCGCTGAAAGGCCAAACGGACAGGGTCGTGGCCAAAACTCTTTGCCTCCTTAACCGCTTTGCTCCTTAGGCCTTCAATCCTCAGTCTCTTGTGATCCTTCTTCGAAACTTTTTCATTACCTTGCTTCTTCTGTCTTCTCTTCAAATTGCCTTCTTCTTGTCAGTTTCATGAAGTGCGCCATGGATCCTCTCTTGCTGCTGGAAACTGAGCTCAAGGTCATTGAAGAGCTTTTCTTTGCCAAACTTCTTGATGAACTTCTTCCAAAGTTTCACTGGGTCAGGCCTGTGCTTTCTCTTCTTCGCATGTCTGATTCCAGGTTCTCGAATGGGATGCAACTCTCCAACATTTCTTGCAAATGACATCGCAAGCTTGGCCTTTGTCACCGAAAAGTCTAAAAGGCTCATGACGAAGATCTTTGGCTTTCTCGTCAGCCTTCTTCCAAATGCCTTGGATCATCTTCTCTCGATGGACTGTGCTGTCTCCAAGGCAAACTCCTCCTTCTTTCTTCATCCTAGCAGTGTAAAACATCTTCAAAGTGCAACCTTTCGGGGCTTTTGCGCATGTCTTCAAATGATGCTTCAAAGTTTTCTTCCTAAGCGCAGGATTGTTGGGCTGGGCAATGGTGCCAAGCTTGCAATATGGGCAAATGATTTTTGCATCCTGCTTTGAAATCTTCTGAAAAGGGATCGGCTTCAAGAGGGTGGCAATTCCAAGGCCATGTCGACCTGATGCTGAGGCTCCTCCTTTGATGTTCTTCTCCTTAATCTTCTTGGCTTCGACAGCGTGGAACTTGTCAAGATGAGTCCTGATATCTTGGGTTCTTTTGCCTGGATCTGCATTGTGGCATTGGAATTGACAAAAGGGACATGCCCATTGGCGCGTTTTGGAGGCTTTCTGATTGCAGGTATCCTTCTCTGCAGTCTTCTTGATACTCAAAGGTGTTGCAGGTGTCCTCGGAGTTCGAAGTATCTCTTGAATGTTGGTAGACTTCTGGGTCTTTGAACTCAAAGGAGTGTCCAGTGCCTTCCTTGGAGGCTTCAGGAGGTCTTCAATAGTCTCCTCCTCAAAGTCAGCTTTGTCATGCTTCAAATTCGGCGTATGCCGGATGGCATCTGGATCATGCTCACCACTTGCTCCTCCGCCTGCTCTGATGTTCTTTTTTGTTTCTTTCTTGATCTTGCTTTGGATGCCCTTTGCCCTCCTAACCCTGCCATTCCCGAGCAAGTCATTGCCAGGGATCTGGATCGTGTCAGAGATCAAAGGCATGTAGTGACCTCCATCCTTCGCAAGGTGAATAGCAGGAAGCTGCTTCAGGTCTTCATTGGGTGAAATCACGGCAATTTTGGTCCATGGCTCATCCTCTCCTTCATTGTATTGCCAGATAATCAAGTGTACCTTCTTGATTGCAGCAACCGCCATCAAGCCATAGTGGCAGATCCACCTGTTTTCTCGATGCAAAGTCTCGGTTGTAAAGGTGCGCAAGTTTTGAGCAGGAGGTCCATCCTCAGTTAAGAAAGTCCGTGCATCGTCAGTCAGGGACCCAATGTTTTTGCCAATCTTGGTCAACTTCGCAGAGATAGTGAAGAGCTTGACTCTTGAGGATTCTTCCGAGTTTGACGATCTTGGGCACCACGTAGTTGGCCAAATTGCCAGATTTGGAGTTGATGGCCACAATTTGGAATGCGATGGATCTCCAACCACAGCCTCCTGTTCCTCCTAACTCCAGCGTGCGGAGGTTCATGCCTTTTGGTCCATTCTCTCCTCCTCTCATTCCTTGAAGTTTACCTTTTCCATCTGGGAAAGTAATAGGATTGCTTCTTTTCTCAATCTCCTCTTCGCCACCCGCTCTGAAGATCTCTTTCGCCTCATTCTTGATCATGCTTTGGATGCCTTTCGTTGTCCAAGCTGAACCATTCTCTAGAAGGTCATAGTCGGGCTTTTGCATGGTATCAGAGATCAGTGGCATGTAATGGCCTCCGTCTTTTGCCAAATGAATGATGGGAAATCGCTTCTTTTCATCGCTGGGAGAGATCACAGCAATTTTGGTCCAAGGTTCATTGTCTTCGCCTTTGTATTGCCAAATGATGAGGTGCACCTTCTTGACTGCAGCGACTGCCATCAAGCCATAAGGACAAATCCACCTGTTGTCTCGATGCAAGGTCTCGGTTGCAAAGGTCTTGAAGTCTTTGGCAGGTGGTCCATCTTCGGTCAGTGGAGTCCAGGCGTCATCAGGAGCCCAGTGCTTTTGCCACTCTTGGTCAACTTCGCAAAGATGAAAAAGTGCTTGGCTCCTAAGGGCTTTGCCAAGGGTTGCAATTTTTGACATCACATTGTCAGCGAGGTTGCATGTTTTGGTGTTGATGGCTGCAAGTTGAAAAGCAATAGATCGCCATCCACAATCTCCAGTACCTCCCAGCTCCAGAGTGCGCAGATTCAAGCCTTCAGGTCCAGGTTCTCCTCCTCTAAGTCTTGATGGTTTTACCTTCTTCTTTGGTGGTGATGCTACCTCGCATCCTCAGCTTCATCTTCCCCCATGTTGGCGTCCAGCTGCGTTGGATCCACAATTTGTGTAGGGCCAACCTTCTCATACTCAAAGTGCTCGCTGAACCATCTTGGGCCGCTGACTTGAAAGGTCTCCTCCTTAGGCTTGCGACTTGTTTTCCATGGGACACTTGACAGGCGCCTGATTTGGTGGTCAATCTCAACCTGGTAGGCATAGGCACTTTGCTTCTCATTGCATTGTCCATAGATCTTCCAAGGGCTTCCTCTTCCTCTTGGCGGTTGGGGTCTTGTCTTAAGTGTCCATCCTTGTTGTTCCAACCATTCTTCGACCATTCCAGGGCCATTGAAAGCAGGAATGCCCCAAAGAGCCCATGATTTGTCAGTGATATCTTCCTCCTTGCAATGATATCCAAGGTCATTACCATCTCCACGTCGCCAAGTCAATGAGGCGCCTTTTGCTTCTTGGATGGTCCTTTGAAGATAGTCTTGATCGCTCTCATTCTCCAGTTTCGTGATCCAAAGCGCAGCGGGTTTGACAGTGATGTCCTGTGCCAAGCGAGTCACAAAGATCCCGTTTCTTCCTGAGCATCTCATCATTTTGCCACTCTCCTTCTTGTCAATCAGGAGGTAGCCATTGAGAAGTGAGTCAGAGCTTTCCGACTTATTGGTCCTTGCCTCCTTCAGATCATCATTGAGAAGTCGTGCTGAGTACTCTGGTTTCTGCTTCAAGATCTGTTTGTTCTTCTCACTGATGTATTTCCAAGGTGCGGTCAAGCGCAGGGAAACAAGATCGTCCCGCTTGGCTGTTTCCATCTTGCATTTATGGATTTTCTCTTGCTCCAAGTTGGGCTTTTGCTTATTGAGGTTTCCAACAACTGCATCGATCATTGCGAGGTTCCCCATCCAAGGCAAAAGAAGGCTCTGGCAGGTCTCCGGGACATCGTCAGTGCCAATTCTTTTTGCAACCAGGAGCATGGACTTGTTGATCTTGAGATCATGTGCAAGTGTTTGAAGTTGTCGTAAATGTTGAACATTTTTGACAATGGCAATCTCTCCTCTAGGGATCTCACCTTCTTCAAGCGCTTTGCGCAAGGATTGCCAAGTGGTCTGTTGAGCTTTTGGCCATCTTCTAGAAAGGTCAAAACGGGGCAAATCGTCGTCCTTCTTTGTCTTTCCTTTTGATTTAGACTTTCCTTTGCCTCCTCCTTTTCCTTCTTCAAAGTTGTTCTCACTTCTGATCTTCACATAAAAGCTCTGACCCTGGGCTCCCTGCTTTGAGTTGCCAAGATGGCCTTTTGCTTCTTTGATCAGCTCCTCAAGTTCTCTGGTTTCTTCGCTGTTGATCTTGTCCTTCAAGATGGATGCAATTTTGTCCAAGCAGTCTCCAATGTCTCTCTTCTTCTTGGTGGCGTTGGAGCCACCAGCACCTCCTCTGAAATCTTCTCCTTATTTGGTTTCTTCTTCAATGGTGCCTGCTCCTCTGAGGTCTGGAAAATGTTCACAAATGCCGCCATAGATGTTGCAGAATGCTTCGATGATATCCTCGGCCTCCTCATCTCTTTCCACAAGCTTGCCAGGGGCTCTGTGCCCCTCTTCCTTCTTCTCTACGGCCTCCTCTCTTTCTTCTTCCTTCTTCTCAACAGCCTCCTCTCTTTCCTCAATCTTGCCAGGGGTTGTCAGCCCCTCGTCCTTCTTCTCTGCAGCCCCCTCTCTTTCCAAATTCTTGCCAGGGGCTGCCTGCCCCTCGTCCTTCTTCTCTTCAGCCTCCTCTCTTTCAACAATCTTGGCAGGGAAAGTCTGTCCTTCTTCCTTCTTCTCTGTCGTCTCAATTCTTCCCTCAATCTTGCCAGGGGCTCTCTGCCCCTCTTCCTTCTTCTCTGATTCCTCCTTTCTATCCTCAATCATGCTCGGAGCCCTCTGCTCCGCATCCTTCTTCTCTTTCTTTTCTTCTATTTCTTCCACATCCTCCTCAATGCTCTGCGGGGAATGCTCAATCTCAATCTCAATATTGTTGCACAAGGTCGAATTTGCATCTCCCTTCTCCTCTTCATCGCTTTCGCAAGGCTTCAGCAACTCCCCAATGCTAATGTTTTCTTCTCCAGCTTCCAGGATTTCATGGGATGTGTCCTCAATTGCAGATGTAGTAAGCCATGTGTCCTCTGAAATGTGCAAATTGATGTGCAAATTGTCATTGATCTCATCGAAATCTTTGAGCCACTGTACAAATTCAGACTCATTCCAGTCGCAGTCTTTAGCTTTCTGGATCCAATCTTCGATGTACTTCGGAACAAAAAGTGGAAACTCTTTGTCGACCCCCTCAGTCGCAAAGTTGTTCTCGTCCTCTTCAGACGATCTTTCAAAAAGTTCATAGTCGGACTCTGATGAGGCATCACTAAAGCAGCTTCGGTTGAACATCTCGCAGCAAAAGTTTTCCTCATCGAATCCTCCTTCACGGATGTCAGAGAACTGACTTGCCTCAAGCTGGTGCTCACATTTGCATTTACTGCAAATCAAGGTTACCACTCCCTCCTCCGCTTTGGTTTCGTGCGTCTCTTCCTCATCCTCTTTTCCACTCTCCTCTTCTTTGATCCATGAAGGCTCCAAAAGGGAGATGTTGGTGCTGGATTCATCGGATGAAGGTGACGTCTGGGCATAAGCAATCTTCCTCATTTCTTTGATGCGATTCCTTTTGTTCTTCGTCTTACTACATGCTGTGCCTCCTTTCAAGCATTGCTTGAAACCCTCATCCTTCAGGGTCAGAACAACCTTGATTGAACCCCTCATCAAGCAATCGTCGTACATGTCCACATCAAGGATGTTATTCTGTCCAATGTCATTTGTCTCAATGACAATGTCATTCAGTGCAAAGTGCTCATACTTGAAAGCTATGGCATTCTCAACAAAGTTCAACAAGTTAACCAAAGCATGGGCAGGATCTCCTTGCAAGCTCTGCACCCCAACGTTGGGGCCCGTGGGTGGCAAATGGCGGCGCTGCTCAATCCCACTGATCTTGAAGTTGCCAGTGGCGGAAGTGAAAATGTCCACCTCACCCACGCATTCCTCAATGGTAACCACCTGGAAACCCTTAGATTCTTTGCACTTGACTGCAGCCGAAGATGTAGCCAAGACGTGGCCATCTATTTGGAAGGACGGATTTTCCCAAACTCTTGCATGAACATTTCGCAAAGAGGAAAGTCAGCGAAGGAACGTGGCCAAAGAAATCTTCTCAAAAGCTGATCCGACGGGATCTGCATATTCAAGCAGCAAGTCCAGATATGATCCCAGTGCGGCTGCTTGGTCCCGCACACATGGCACTCCGTGCCCACTTTGGTCCACCTGTGGCTTGATGTTCTCAACCTTGATGCCAGGGAAAGTCTCCAAGTCCTCCATGGCAATCTCGTTGTCAAAGTGGCCGATGTTGCACACAATGATGATGATGATGATGCAATTTAACTGAAGCAGGCTGACAAACACCTAGAGTCAGTGAGACACGAAAACTAAATGGAGCTGATGTCGGCCAAATTGGCACAATGTCCATCCCAAATTGCAGCCACACGGGCTGCCCATTGAAGCGCAGCTGAACTCCATTGCAGAGCCCGAGCCACAGTATCAAGCCAAGGTTGAAGACAAAGGAGTTCCCGCTGCAAGGTTGCAGCGGCTGCTCTGTCAGCTTGATGGTTTAAATGGCGCAAATGTGTCGGACAACCATAGGTCGGTCTCCATTCGGCATGTTTGTTGTGAGTAGGGGTCCACTGGAAAAGGATGCGTACACCACGCTCCAGTGCCCGGCGCCGATGTTGTTGAAAGCCATGCCACAAATGAAAATGTTGTGTGGGGACAGACACTCTGTCCAAGAAATCAATGGCGGATTGACAATCTACTGCCAAGATCACCTGAAGATCACACTGAGCTTGTGACTGCTCGACAACAAGAATGATGGTGATGAGGACGCACCAGATGGCGGTAAGTTCTGCCATCATTGCCGTGTTGTCTTCTCCACGTAGAGGTCGGGCGAAAGTGCCGGCATCGACAGCAACTGCCCAGGTAGCTAGTCCATGTTTCGCTCCACCATCAGTGGCAATGACCAACGGTTGTCCACAAAGCACTGCCTGTTTGAACTGTTGTTCAAGAAGGGGTCTCAAATCGTGTGGTGCTTGGATTGCTTGGTTGGTTGGGTGTAGTGGTCTGGGGTCTGGGGGTGTGACCGCTGCCAGTAGTCGCTCCTCACTGGTGTTCTGAGGAGGTCTGGGTGCTAGGTGTCGGCGTTGTGTATGTAGCGCCGTGCATTTCCAAAGCAAATGAGGCATGCTTGGGGCCTCTAACCGACACAAACACCGTGGTGGGGTGATGTTGTGACGCTTGCCAGTGTGCCATGTTGAAGTCCCTGTTGCCATGTATACTTGTCGTTCCGGTGTGTTGGTTGGCGTATATGGCAGTTGCGCTGCTGTTTTGTGCGCTGTCATGTCTGGCATGTGGTGTGGTGGTGGGGTGGGGATTGTCAAGCCGGATGCCATCCCAGGATCATTGCGCCTCCGTGGTTTCCAAACACGCTCCTCGGTTCGGAAAAGTTTGTGGGCCCAATGATGGGAAAGCCATTGTTGTAGTGGCGTGTTGCCATCCCAGCCAAGTCGAAGTGTGCGGGTTCGTCCGCTGTTGTCTGTTTTGCATAGGGTGTGGTTGTGCTGATGCCACTTCCACTGTAGTGTGTGGAGAGTGTTTTGCAATGCCGGTATGTTGTGTAAGTGCTGTGGCTGCTGGAGCCATTGTCGAATGTGTTGTAGCCATGGATGGGTTGTGATTTGTAATCGGCTGTACCAGGTTGGTAGCCGCAAGTGTGCTTCGTGAAGGCAGTATGCCGGGTCGTCGTGTGGTTGAAGCTTGGATGTCCAGATGTTGTGTCGAGATGCCGTTTGTGGTATCCAACCTTGAAGAGCGTGTAGTGCATGGAGCCGAATCTGCCGCTGTTGTGTTGGTGTGAAAAAGGCAAGTGGGCCGGCCCATGTGAGGCAAGGAATGGCTGTTGTGCGGAGAAGCCGTCTCCGGTGGTGGAAGAACCGAGTTGCTTGCTGGATGCGTTTTGCCCGATGGATAAATTTGTCCATGGTTGCAGTTGGTGTAGTGACCTCTTTGGTGCGGAGGTTGTAGACCAAGCCCAAAAGTGTGCTGGTTGTGCCAGCCGGGGGGAAGTTGTTGGGTGTGAGAGAGTCCAGAACGGGAAGGAGTTGTTCAGTTGGTGTGGCGAGTTGGGTCTTGGAGGTGTTTTCCTGGAAGCCAAGAATGTCGTCGATTGCACTAGATCGGACAAGGATCTGTGGGAGAAGTTCACGTGTGCTTGGTCCATGCATCCATATGTTGCGGTCGTCAACGTAGATGCCAGTGTGGACTGTGGTGGCTGGTGCTGTTAACGTGTGTATGCCATGGTGCCAAATGTTCATGAGAGTGGCCAGCAGCAAGGGGCTGAAGGGGCACCCTTGTAAGATGCCGTGGGTTGTTGCCTGCCATGTTGGCGACATTGTGCCGTTGTAGAGGAAAAGCCATCGACAGCCTTGATAAAAAGCCAAAATGGTTTGACAAAGCGAATCGGGGGCCCCATAGTGTGAAAGTGCTGTGAGCGCTTGCATGATGTGGACTGTATCAAAAGCCTTGCTGAGGTCTTGGGAGAGAACGATGAAATCCTCGTCATGGTGCTCCAAAAGGTCATGAAACAGGCGAACGTGCAAGGCAATACCATCCCTGCCTGGGAGCCCGCCGCACAATGCAGGAGCTGCCCAGTCGTGGGTCCAGGGTGCTAGGGCCCGTACTGTTGCTGACGCAGCAATTCGCCAAGCAATGCCGGTGATGCTGATTGGTCTGGTTCCGCCGGTTGGTTTTGGGAGGAGGACCACCAAAGTTTGTAACCATGATGGAGGGATGTGTGCTGTGTCGAGGATGGTGTGCCACAAGTCTCGAAAACAGTCCCACCAGGTGGTGGGGAGGGCCAAAAAGTGCTCGGATTGCCAACCATCTCCGCCGGCCGCCTTTCCTCGACTGCGACGAGCTGCTTGTATAAGCTGTTTGGTGGTGACTTGTAAAGTTGGTTGTGTAGTGTTGGGCGGCGGGAGCCACGGTTGCAATAGCTGGGTGTGGTGGTGCTTTGCTTGCTGCCAAGGTGTGTGGAGTGTGCCGGCCGCATCGCCAGGGTGTTGGCGATTCCAAATGTGGGTCCAGTTGGAGGCTTGTTCTTCCAAATGCTGCTGTGGGTGGATAGCATGGTGTATGTGACTGGTGACCGGAGGGGCGGGGGCTGGTGTTTGGCGAACCCAATGCCGTTGCTTGCTCGGGTTGTCTTGCATGTCGGTCATCCATCGCTGGATGCGGCTGGTGGTTTGTTGCTCGGCCTCCTCTTGGATGTGTTCTTCCAAGGCTGGAATGAGTTCATCCAAGGTGCTGTAGTTGAGGTTGGGGTAGAGGTGCTGGAGGCTAAGGAGACGCCGTTGCAGTGCCGCCATTGTGTCCGGGCGGGCAAAGCGTTGCACCTCGCGCGCCGTGCGCAGAGTGCGTAGGAGACGTCTCTGCTTGAACGTTTGCTGTGGCAGTGCATGTTTGGCTGGCGGTGCTTGTTGGATAGGCTGCCATAGAGTGGCTCTGCGGATGCCGTGGCTGTTGGGTGTGCGTTGTTCTTCATCTTCTTCATGTGATCCAAAGTGATGATCTTGAAGTTGGTATGCCTTTTGCCGTTGACACCTACCAAGCAGTCATTCCCACAGAAATGGTGCCCAGATGAATGCCAAGATTTCCTCTAAAGTATCATGTAGAACTCCTCCACATGCGCAATGAAAGAATCAGCAAGAAGTTGCTCAGATTTGTTTGTCCCCCAAAGGAACCTTCTGAGCATGGTGTCGCATGGGACAGGGACCTGCAGCAAGCAAGTCCATCCGTGATCCCAGTCAGGATCGGTTGTCTCACCTTTCAAGCACTTGGATGTACAGCCATGCGCCAAAGCGGCCATCTTTGGACTCTTCACAGCGCCCATAGCAAAACAACAGCGTGAAGGTTTTGTAGATGCCCACTTCCTAGTCATGTTGATCCTTTCAATAGTCATCTGTGGAAGTTGTAAGCCAGCTATTTCATGCCGTCCTGATACTTTGAATTCCTCCCAAGCTGACCATCTAACGGAGTCACGAAAATTTGTGTGCAATCTTCTTCCATTCTTTAAGGTACAAGATGTCACTCTCAAGGAAATGGCCACAGTGTTCGTGGCGCCAAGTTCCACGGCGTTTTGTCCATCCATGTTGTTCAAAACCTTCTAAAACGTTGCCTCAAACTGATCCAAACTATGTCCCAGTCTTGTAAGCTCAGCATTCCTGTTAGACAAGAGCCTGACTTGTTTGATCCACAAAACTGGATCAGCTTCTAGATGTGCACCGCTGATCAATCTGCGCAAAGAAGGTGGAGAAAATGTGATATTGCCGAGGGTTTTCCAAAGCTGAGTGTTGTACTCAGAGCAAATGCCTTTGGAAGGCCGACCAGCAATCCACCCATAACTCATGGTTGGACGTGCAAGGGTAGCCAAATCATTCATTCTGATCTTCTTGTATGGCAGCAAACCAACTCTTCTAGAGACATGGATAGCCTTCTCAAAACGCTCTTTGTTTGGGCTAACTTTGTTGAATGTTCTCCTGTTGGGTTGTCCAATCAAAGCACCAAGAACTTCCATAGCTTTTGCTTCGCCAGGAGCAACAGTTTGGGTCTTTGTCTCATTTTCCAGCAAATGAAAATCTTCAGCAAAGCGTCCCCAACGTTCCATTGAATCTCTGAGCAGATGCTCATTGTTACAAATCATAGTTCTATCATCCATCCAAATGCATTGATGGAGTCGACCAAGCTGATGGTGTTCTTGTACACGTGCATGGCCTACCCATAGCAAAAGAGAAAGCGCAAGTGGAGACGCAGGATCTCCTTGGGGAATGCCAGTTTGATTTTCTAGAATATCGCCAACGTGTTTGTCATAGTGAATCCATTTGTGACATTTCAACCAATGATCACAGACAACCGTGATCCAAGGGCTCAAAATGGGAATACCAATCCTGACACCGTCTCTCAGCATTTTGATGTCCACTGTGTCAAAGCAATGACTAAAGTCCAATGTCGCTCCATGCTGCCATAGCTGCAGTAGAGCGTCAGCCACACAGGCCTGAACTTCAGGTCCTTTGCTTCGCCTGCATATGATGTCCTTCGGCATTTGTGCTTGCAGCGCATCGATCAAAGGTGACATGATCCACATCGCTGAAAAGGTTCTCCACCATATGCTGAAGACAGTGATTGGCCTTAGACCTTTGATGCTGACTGTGCCTTTAGAGATCTTGTTCGCCTTGGGGATATAAGTCACCTTGACCTCCGCAAGGATTGAAGGAGTAATGCCAAGGTCAATCCAGAGTTTAAAGTTTTGGCCAAGTTCTCTCAAAAACTCAGGGATCTTCGCAAGGGTCTTGATCTCATAGTAGTTCCATTGGTCGAGGCCAGGACCACCTTTGGCTTTTGAAATCGCTTGCTGAAGGACTTTCAGGTTGGGAGCTCTGCCTTGAACATTGCCTTGGAAGTTGTGAAGATGGTGAGCAATTTCCCTGACTCTTTGACGTCTCTGGTCTTCATTCATCCAAACTCTACGCTTGAGATTCATGTCAAATTCCCGGATGAGGTCTACCGCAGTAGGTTTCGAGGTGGAAGTCTTGTCTTGGTGCTGCACCTGAGGATAATAACTGATCTTCTTTTTGTTGATCCAATTTGCCCTGTAGGTTGTGTCAGAGACTATTCTCCCCCTCCATCTCCTAAACGCAATTTCTTTGTCTTCGTTCTCCAACTTCAAGATTTGTTTTTCCCATTCTTGTATATCATCACAAACTTTCGGCAGTGTGATAGTGTCAAAGTCCATGAAGTCTCTGCCGTATAGCATAGGATTGCAAGTTCCTGAGCCAAATTAAGCTTGTTTCGTAGCCTTCTCCTTGCCATAGATGTTCGAAATTGGGGTGAATGCTGATCCCAGGAAAACTTCTCAACAGAGAGCCTAGAAGATAGTACCTTATTCGCCAGCTTCTCAATCCTCATGATCTCCCACTTATTGTCAAAATTCTCCGGAATGCAAAGAATGGCCAACTTGTAAGCAGTTTGAAAGGTGGTCAAAGCTTTTGACATAGTGAGTTTCCAAGTGAAGTCTACAATCTCCTGATCTTGATCAGAATCATCAACTTGGCTCGGGATGGAGGTGTCGTCATCAGTTAATCTGCAAGCATGTTGCCAATTGGTGGCCTTCTCAATGTTGTACGCCTGATGGACAAGGTCTTCCCATCCTTTGATATTGAGCCAGAGAGGCTTCTCAAAATTGAAACCCTTCTTGAAACGATGGACATTGTAGGAGCAGCACTCCAGCTTGACAGTGGTCTCCATAATCTTGTGGTCAGAGATCTTGGCATCAAGTGCTTGGAAGCGCAAATGAGGAATATTCGAAATAAAGAAATCGATGAGCCGGTGCCCTTTCCAGCGCGAAGAATTTTCGTCAGAATCTGCAATGGAGCAACCATACATGACAGCTAAAGTGGCTACCAAACAATCAGATGGCCCCTGATTCCAATCACCGCAAAATAACATGGGACCCTGCCAATCCAATCTAATGGGCATCTCCTCAAACTCAATGGCATGCTGGTGCAACTCGCTAACTGTTGGTGGGCAATAGCTGTTGATCATGAGCAAATCTTGAACTTTAAGTGTAATTGCAGCATAGCCACGTTTGTTGCAGTATTCATCACACATCTGTGATTGAACATGATTCGAGACCATTGTTAGGACTCCAGTGCATTTGGCCCCACGCAAAACCGTGGAAGACGCATATGCAGTATATCCAAGGGTTGAAATTCTACCTAAAGTTGCTTTCCACTCTTCAAGGCTGCAGCAAATCTCTTGTGCATGAACTACAAAGGGTCTGAGCTGCTTCTTTGTAGCTTCCAAAAGAAAAAGGAGCCGCCAAAAGCCGGGCATGCCGCCCGTGTTGATTGTCCAAACTTTCTGTCTTTCCTTTGCAACAGATTCAGTGCCCCCCCGCAAAAGATGGAGGGGTACTTCCGTTCAACAACAGCTTTTGGCATACTGTTTCCTTCTTTTGACGTACTCAGCGATGTTGTCATTGACAATCTTCTTTTCTGTCTTGTTGAACTGCATGATTTTGAACAATTTCTCCTTGCCAATCTTCTCAACGCAATTTTTCCACCACGACCTTGAAGGGAGGATAGATCTGACTGATCTATGATGGCCAACGCAATTGTCTCTCCATTGTTTTGTATGTTGGCTGACTCTCCAACACTTCTTGCAGATCAGGTTGGTGCATCCAGCAGACTGCCAAGCACGCTGGAAGCTAAGCCGCACTGGTTCGTGTCCACATTCTTTTGCACTCTTGATCGCCTTGCTCCTCAAACCTTCCAGCCTCAACTTCTTGTGCATGATCTTGGAAACTTTCGAAAAACCATGTTTTCTTTGTCTTTGCTTCAGAGATGCTTTGCGTGAGTCGCTCTCAAGAATTGCCTTCTGGATCTTCTCCTGCTGATGTGTGCTGAGCTCCAAGTCAGTGAAGAGTTTTGCTTTGCCATACTTCTTGATGAACTTCTTCCAAAGCCTGACAGAAGGAAGAATTCTTGGTCTGTCTTGCATCTTTTCCCCCCCGCAGGCAATGTTCCAGGTTTTCGAATGAGACGCAACTCTCCAGCATTTCTTGCAAATCACATCACAAGCTTGTCCATTGCTATTCATGAGTCGGTGGGGAGAGTGACCAAGCCCAATTGCCTTGTTGTCAGCTCTCCTCCAAATACCTTGGATCATCTTCTTCCGGTGAGCTTCTCTGTTGCCGAGGCAGATCCCACCTTCTTGTTTCATCCTCGCAGCGTAGAGCACCTTCAGGTTGCAGTCTTTTGGCGCTTTTGTGCAAGACTTCAAGTGGTGCTTCCAGGTTTTCTTTCGAAGCGCTGCACTGCCAGGGTTGACATCTGCCCCAAATTTGCAAAAAGGACAAATGATCTTGGCCTTCTGCTTTGGCATCTTTCGAAGTTGCAAAGGTTCGAGTAGGACGGCAATGCCCAATCCATGTCGTCCAGATGCAGAAATGCCTTTCTCGATATTCCTCTCTTTTGTTTTCTTCGTCTCTCTTGCATGGAATTTGTCAAGATGAGTTCTGATGTCCTGGGTTCTTTTCGCAGGGTTTGAAATGAAGCACTGATATTGACAGAATGGGCAAGCCCAATGGCACACTTTCGAAAGACTGAGACCATAGTTGTTCTTGTTCTCTGTCTTGTTCATATTGCTGCATGGTGTTGCCCATGTTTCCGGCGTAGGCAGTGCATCCCGAATGTTGAAGGACTGAATAGTTTTCACACTTTCAGGAGTGTAGAAGCTTTTCTTCTTTGGAGTGGTCCAGGGATCTGGTGATTTGAGCAAGTCCTCAATGTTTCCCTCAGAAATTTCACTACCGACATCGCCAATCGTAGACCTTTGCTCAAAGTTCCCTCCTCCTCTGAAGTCAGCAATCTCGTTCATGTTCTGCTGTCTTCTCGGCTTCCAAGTTCTTCCATTCCTTTGCAGATCATTGCCAAGAACATGAAGTTCATCAGGGATGAGCGGCATGAGATGGGTTCCAACTTTCGCAAGGTGGATAGTTGGGAACTCTTTCGTCTCCTTCGGTGAAAAGGTTGCAATTTTTGTCCAAGACTCTCTGTCATTGCCCCGGTACTGCCAAACCACCAGGTTCACCTTCTTGGTCTCGCAAATTGCCATGAAGCCATAGCGGCAAATCCATCTGTTTTCCCTATGCAAAGTCTCATTGATGAAATCCTGCAAATTTTGTGCTGGAGGTCCATCTTCCGTCAAAGCAGTCCAGGTATCCTCCGGCATCCAGTTCTCCTTCCAATCGTGATCAATTTCGCAAAGAAAATGAAGCGCCTGGCCTTTCAATTTTTTTGCAAGATTTTCGATCTTGGGCAAGACGCTGTTGACAAGTTTGTCATGATTCACATTGATGGCAGCGATCAGGAAGGCAATTGATCTCCATCCACAGTCTCCAGTTCCTCCCAATTCCAATGTGCGTAGTTTCATGCCCGTAGGGCCATTGATTCCACCCTTGTTGCTTTCTCCTCCTCCAGCTCTGAAAATCTGTTTCTTCTCGCCTGAAGATTTGCCTTGGATTCCCTTTGAAGACCAAGTAGTGCGGTTTTCCAAGAGGCTGTAATCGGGCTTCTGCATGGTGTCAGAAATCAGAGGCATGTAATGTCCACCATCTTTGGCAAGGTGGATAATGGGCAATTTCTTCTTCTCGTCATTTGGTGAAATCACAGCAATCTTGGACCAAGGCTCACTGTCATCGCCTTTGTATTGCCAGATAATGATGTGGACCTTTTTGACCGCCGAGACTGCCATGAGGTCAGAAAGGCAGATCCATCTGTTGTCGCGGTGCAGGGTCTCAGTTGCAAATGTTTTCAAATCTTTTGCTGGCGGCCCGTCCTCAGTGAGTGGTGTCCAAGCGTCGTCAGGAGCCCAATGCTTCTGCCATTCCAAATCAACTTCACAAAGATGAAAAAGGGCTTGGCTTCTGAGAGCTTTGCCAAGTACCGCAATTTTCGACATCACATTCTCGGCCAAATTGCTAGATTTTGAATTGATTGCAGCTAATTGGAAGGCAATTGAACGCCATCCGCAATCACCTGTGCCCACAAGCTCAAGGGTTCTGAGATCAAGTCCATCTGGTCCTTGTTCGCCACCTCTCAGTTTGGACGGCTTGACTCTCTTTTTTGGCGGAGAGACAATCTTATCTCCATCAGCTTCTTCCTCATCCATGTTCGCATCCATCTGAGTTGGTTCAAGGACCTGCGTAGGGCCAACCTTGTCATACTGAAAGTGCTCGCTGAACCATCTGGGGCCGCTAACTTGAAATGTCTCCTCTTTTGGTCTGCGGCTGCTTTTCCAAGGCACGATGGACAGACGCCGAATGTTGCCCTCAATCTCAACTTGATACGCATAGGCACTTTGCTTTTCACTGCACTGTCCAAAAATCTTCCAGGGGCTGCCTCTAGAGTGAGGTGGCTGTGGCCTTGTTCTCAAAGTCCAACCTTGCTGCCCAAGCCAATCTTCGACCATTCCAGGGCCATTGAAAGCTGGAACGCCCCAGACTGCCCAAGATTTATCCGTAATGTCCTCCTCCTTGCAATGATATCCAAGGTCATTGCCGTCGCCTCTTCTCCAGGTCAAAGGTGCGCCTTTTGCTTCTTCTGTTGTTCTTTGTAAATAGGTTTGGTCACTTTCGCCAAGTCTTGAAACCCAAAGCGCAGAGGGTTTGACAATGATATCCTGCGACAGTCGGGTAACAAAAACCCGTTTCTTCCAGAACATCCAATGATCTTCCCAACTTGGTTCTTGTTGACCAAAAGATATCCCGTCAAGACAGAGTCTGAACTTTCCCACTTGTTTGTTCTGGTTTCCTTCAAATCATCGCAAAGGAGACACACAGAATACTCTGGTTTCTGTAGAAGGATCTGCTTATTCTTCTCGCAAATGAACTTCCAGGGCGTAGTCAAACGCAAAGAAGCCAAATCATCACACTTTGCCATCTCCATTTTGCATTCATGAATCTTCTCCTTCTCCAAGTTTGGTTTTTGTTTGTTGAAATTCCCAACAATTGCATCGATCATCGCAAGGTTCCCCATCCATGGAAGGAGAAGGCTTTGGCAAGTCTCACGGATCACTGCCAATGCGTTTCGCAACCAAAAGCAAGGACTTGTTGATCTTGAGGTCGTGGGCAAGCGCTTGAAGCTGTCGAAGATGTTGCACGCTCTTGACGATAGCAATTTCTCCTTTCGGTGTCTCTCCTTCTTCAAGCGATTTGCTAAGTGATTGCCAAGTGGTTTGCAAAGCCCTGGGCCATCTTCTCGAAAGATCAAATCTGGGCAAATCTTCATCTTTGGATTTGCCTTTTGTCTTCGCTTTTCCTTTTCCTCCTCCTTTTCCATCGCCACTGTTGCTCCCAGCTTGTGGCTTTCCATAGAAACTTTGTCCCTGAACTCCAAGTTTCTGATTGCTAAGATGGCTCTTAGCTTCTTTGATCAATTCCTCAAGTTCCTTGCTCTCCTCCTCGCTTGTCTTTTCTTTCAAAATGGCAGCAATCTTGTCAAGACAGTCTCCAATATCACGTTTCTTCTTTGTTGCATTTGAGCCTCCTGCTCCACCTCGAATCTCCTCAATCTTTTCATCCTCAGCGCAACTGCCGGCACCCCTAAGTTCAGGAAAATGCTGTCCTGAACTGCCCAGGATGCTGCAGAAGGTCTCAATAATACCTTCTGCTTCCTCATTTTTGATTTCTTCTTCGTACTCTTTTTGACTTGACACCAGCCAGAACAGCAATCCCAAAGAAGAGCAGTCTGAAATAATGCCAAAGATTCCCAATTAGTTCATCACGTAAAACTTGCTCACCGCATCAATGAAGTGTTGGGCAAGAAGTTGGTCATCTCGGTTTTGAACCCAAAGAAAACGACGCATCATAGTATCCTTAGGTGGGTCCCTGCTAAGCAAGCAGGTCCACCCATGGTCCCAATCTGGGTTGCGAGTGCCGCACTGATTGCAAATGAAATCTTCACCATGGATGTAATGAGAGGCTAAAGTGCTTTTTACAGCTCCGATCACAAAGCTTCTCCTAGTAGAGCAGGTTGAGCTCCATTTCCTCACCTGTTCAATGCGCTCAATGGTCATCTCAGGAAGATGCAGATGTTGGATCTCGTGTCGACCTGAAATTCCAAATTCTGTCCAAGCATGCCAACGGACAGAGCATCGCATTTGATGGGCAATATGCTTCCAGCTTTTGGAATCAAGAATGTCAGTTTCCAGGAAAGACTCACAATGGGCATGTCTCCAAACACCGCGATTGAAATTCCAACCCTAGAAAGTGAAGCACTCAGCCACAGTTTGATCCAAATGAGTCTTCGTGTCGTCCAAGAGTCCCAGTTGACGCAATCTAAGATTTCTACAAGCCTGTAATCTAGTCAATCTTATCCACAGAGCAGGTTTCGCTTCAAGGTGTGCGCCACAGATGATCCTCCGCAGGGAGGGAGGAGAAAAGGATAAATTGCCAAGCGATTTCCAAAGTGTCCTATTGTAGTTAGTCATGGCAGTCTTAGAAGGAGATCCAGCTATCCACCCATAGCTCATCGCAGGACGTGTCAGTGTTGCCAGGTCGTTCAGCCTGTGCTGCTTGTTTGGCAGCAATGCAATTCTTTTGGAATTGTGGTTGGCTCTGGCAAAACGGTCCTTATTCAAAGTGGTTTGATTGAAGGTGCGCTTGTTGGGCTTCCCGATGATAGCCCCAAGAACCTCCATAGATCTGCTGCCTTTCGGAAAACAGTCTGAGTCTTATTCAAATTCTCCATAAGATGAAAATGTTTTGCAAATTCAGACCATCTCGAAATGGCGGTGTCCAGAAGGTGCTGATTGTCGCAAATGATTGTCCTATCGTCCATCCAAATACATTGAAACAAGTTTCCAGGTGGTCGATTTTGTTCAACTCTGTTGTATCCTAGCCAAAGCAGAAGGGTCAAAAAGAGTGGTGAAGCAGGATCTCCTTGTGGGATGCCAATCCTTGGAGACAGTTTGTCACCAACATACTTGTTGAAATGAACCCAACGTTCGCAGCTCAGCCAGTGATTACACTTCGTTAGGACCCAGTTATGAGGATCTTTGGGAAAACCTCCAAGAAGTCCGTCGCACAACATCTCCACATCGATAGTGTCAAAGCACAAGCTAAGGTCAAGTGTGGCACCAAAATGCCATTTGGAAAGCAGAAAATCGGCCACACAAGCTTGAACTTCAGGGCCATGAGAGGACCTACATGCGATATCTTTAGGCAATATGTTGTGTAGCGTTTGAAGTCGTGGACTGTCAAGCCACATTGCACTGAATGCTCGCCACCAGCAACTAAAAACTGTGATTGGTCGCAAGCCATTCACAGAGATGGTGCCCATCTGAGTCTTGCTAACTTTTGGCGAATAAACAAGCTTGATCTGTTTGAGAATACCAGGAGTCTTCTGCAAACTGATCCAGAGTTGAAATTCCTTGGCAATTTCCCGAAATAAAATTGGGATCTTTGCAAGCTGTCTGAGCTCAGTAGAGCACCACTGATCTAGTCCTGGTCCACCTTTTGCACGTTTGAGAGCTTTGCAGAAGTCAGTCATATTTGGTCTTCTGCCTTTGAGCTGAGGTTTGTATGGGGCACAGTGCCCTGTGATCTCCTGGATTCTTTTGGCACGCTCCGCATCTGACATTGCAATCTGCTGTTTCATCTCGTCGTCAAACTCTTTGATAAACCTGACAGCCATGGCTTTGGTGCTGGAAATTTGATCATTGTGAAGGACTTGAGGATAATAGCTAATCTTCTTCTTGGTGACCCAGTTGCATCTATATCCACGGTCTTTGCTGATACGTTGTTTCCACAAAGTGATGGCAGCATCTTTATCCTGGTCTTCAAGTTTCAGGAGTTCATCTTCCCAAATATGGATAGAGTTCAGGATATCCTCCTCATCGATGTCATCCGATTTTCTGAAAAGCTTCTCCTTCATTCGCTGGATCTTGAAACGAGTTTGTGGAAGAGGGTTTTCCTTGCGTAGTTGTCGAAGTAGTTCATCAGCGCGGCTAATCTTGTTCCTGAGCTTCCTTCTGGCCATAGGGATATTGCACTTGCTTTGGCCAAGGTCGACCTGCTGTCGTTTTGTGGTCAATCTGGAAGTTTGGACCTTGTGCGCCAATCTTTCCACTCGTCGTAGTTCATGTTGTTGTGTAAACCCATCAGCAATGATCAATAATAAGGAAAGTTTGAATGCAGTTTGATAGACAGTCAAAGCTTTCGCCATAGTAAGCTCACAAGTGAAATCGATCATCTCCTGATCATGGTCAAGATCATCAACATAGGAGTTGCTAATGTCAGGTTGAAGGACAAGTGAGCACGCATGTTGCCATCCAGATCGCTGTTCAATGTTCGAAGCTTCCTCCAAAAGGAGAAGCCAACGCTGGAGAGTGAGCCAATTGGGCTTGTCAAGGGCCATGCCTTTGCTGAATCTGCAGTCATGAGTTGCACCAAGTTTCAAAGGAGTGGTTATTTGCATAATCTTGTGGTCAGAAATCCTATGTTCCAAAGCTTCAATGTGAAGTCCCCGAATGTTCGTGACGAAAAAGTCAATCAATCTGTTCCCATCCCATCGCGAGCAAGAGGTATTGCAAGGCGGAACATTGCAGTCAAATTGCACACTGATAGTGACTATCCAAGCCTCATGAGGCTCCTGATTGAAATCGCCGCAAAATAACCTATCACCGTTCCAATTGATCCGGATGAGCATTTCCTCCATTGAGATAGCATGGGATTCGAGATCAGTGGGTGATGGTGGGCAGTAAGAATTGACCATCAAAATATCGTCAACGATAATGGCAAGGGCAGCATAGCCTCTTTCAGTGCAAAATTCATCAATCATCCTCGAAGGAATTTGGAGGCTGACCAAAGTCAGGCATCCACGTTTTCGCATGCCTTTCGTAATGGTAGTAGAAGCAAAGGCCTGAAAACCGAGAAAAACCAATCCTATTGAGTGTTGCCTTCCATTCTTCAAGATTGCACATGACTTCTTGAATGTGGATGACCGCAGGTCTTTTGCATTTCTTTGTCGATTCAAGGAGCCAAAGAAGCTTCCAAAGTCCAGGAAGGCCAGCCACATTAATGGTCCAAACATTAGCACAAATCTCATGATTTTCCTCAGTGGCACCTCCTCTCAGCAAGGAAGGAGAGGGGTGCCCAACTTTTCACTCTTCCTGCTTTCCTCTTTTACCTTCTGCTCTGCGCTTGTCATAGTGATTGATGCCATCCAAAATCATCTCTTGGTCACGCGTGCCAATCTTCATGAGTTTGAACAACTCTTTGGCGCCAATCTTGTTGATGAAAAACTTCCACCAAGCTCGAGACGGGGGAAAATGGCTGTCACCAATCAAAGGATATCCAGAACATTGCTGCTTCCAGGTAAAGCTTGTTTGTTGAGCTCTTCCAACACTTCACACAAACCAAATTGGTGCAAGCATTGGATTGCCAGTATTTCTGTGCATGAAGGCGCAAGGGAGAATGGCCGTAGTTGATCGCAATGTCAACGGATCTTTTTCGGAGTCCGGCAAGTCTTCTGGCTTTGCATTCTTTCTTAGTGAAGATGCCTTTGATGAGTCTTCGCTTCTTGTCGGTGATCCTCTTCTTTCTGTCAATCTCAAACTTTTCCAAACTTGCCTCAATCATTTTCAGCTGTGAGAAAGAGAGTCCAATCTCATTGCGCAGCTTGTCCTTGCCGATCAACTTGAAGTGGTGCTTCCACCATTGCAGAGATGGGGGAATTCGAAGTTGGAGATCGGCAGGCCCTTTGCAAGGAGTTCCCCACTTTCTGGAATGAGACGCAGCTTGAAGGCAGGTAGTGCAAAACTGAATCGTCTGGCACTTCTTCTGCTTCAAGAAAGAAATATGGATAGGCGTATGCCCCAATTTGCAAGCTCGTGCATGCGCTTTTCTTTGGATGCCTTCCTTCATCTTTTGTTTATGTTTCTGGTCATCTGCAACCAGAGAGACTTTCTTGTCTTTTTTCATGATGTCAGTCCTCAGTTGCCGAATGCTGCAATCTTTTGGAGCTTCCTTGCACTGCTTGAGGTGGTGCTTCAGGGTCTTTCGTCGCAGCGTTGAGTTGCTAGGCATGTGAACGGTTCCCAATCTGCAATAAGGGCATGAGAAGCCAGCGTCCTCCTTCTTGATCTTCACAAACTCCAGAGGTTTGATCTGCTTCATGATGCCAAGTCCACGTCTCAGCTGGTTTGAAGCTTGACTTTCAGAGGATTCTTGCTGTGCTTTCTTAAATTCAAATGGATGGCATCGTCCAAGATGATCTCGGATTTCATGGCTTCTTCGCGTAGAGTTGCTTTCGATGGTTTTGAAGCTGCAAAAGGGACAATGCCAGCTACAAGTCTTGTCCTGATGAAGCTTCACAGAGAAATTGGAGTTCTGCTCATTCTTGGCGCTAATAGGAGTGGCTGGAGGTCGAAGTAGAGGGAGTCTTGAGAAGGTCTGCAAGTGTCGGCGATGATGGGGCATGTTTGCATGATGGTGTGCGTGGAGGTTCTTCATCGCCAGCAGCTCGAAAAACTTTCTTTGATTCCTGGTCTCTGTTTTGGATACCCTTGGATTATCCTGGATTTCCAAATTCTTCCTCCTTCCAGAAAATCATAGTTGGGCTTCATGTTGCTGTCAGAGATAAGGGGCATATAGTGACCTTTGTCCTTTGCCAAGTGGACAATTGGAAATTTCTTCTTGCCCTTGTCGGTGTCATCAGGGGAAATGACTGCAATCTTGGTCCAAGGATCTTCGTCTTCTCCACGATATTGCCAAATGACCAGGTGGATCTTCTTGATTACAGCAACTGCCATGAGCCCGTAGTGGCAAATCCAACGATGTTCAGGATGTAGGACTTCGCTGACAAAGGTTTTGAGGTCCTTTGCAGGTGTGCCGCCTTCAGTGATGTTGTCCCAAGCATTGTCAGGCGCCCATGAAGCTTGCCATTCTTTGTCTGTTTCACATAAATGATAAAGGGCTTGACTCCTCAAGGCCTTGCCAAGCGTAGGAAGCTTCGTCATAAGACTGTCAGCAAGGTTGCCGCCACCTGAATTGAGTGCAGCAAGCTGAAATGCAAGACTTCGCCATCCGCGATCTCCTGTTCCTCCCAGTTCAATGGTTCGAAGGTTGGTCCCTTCAGGTCCAGCTTGTCCTCCTCGGAGTCCTGCTGCTTTCGCCTTCTTTTTGGGAGGCGATTTGACTTCAATTGATTTGTTGGCTTCATCTTCTGTTGGACTGTCAGGCATCGTGGCATCAATGACTTGTGTTGGTCCAACAGAATCATACACAAAATGCTCACGGAACCATCTTGGGCCAGTTGTGATTGGCTGTACATCCTCATGAATTTTTCTACTGGTTTTCCAAGGAACAATTGACAATCGTCTGATCTTGCCGTCAAAGTCAGCCTGAAACGCATATGCACTCTGCTTTTCATTGCAAGTTCCAAAGATTTTCCAAGGTCCATTTCGATTTCTCGGTGGGAGAGGCTTGGATTTGAGTTTCCAACCTTGCTGTTCAAGCCATTCTTCAACAAGGCCTGGTCCATTGAATGCTGGAACTCCCCAAAGTGCCCAACTCTTCTCCTGAATTTCATCGTCACTGCATTGATATCCGAGGTCATTACCTCCACCTCTTCTCCATGTCATTTGTGCCCCATTGGCCTCTTTGCGTGCTCTTGCAAAGTAGCTCTCATCAGTCTCGTTTTCACTGCGGCTGATCCAAAGGGCATTTGGTTTGGTGATGATATCCTGTGCCAAACGCGTCACAAAGATTCCATTGTTGCCTGAACATCCCAAGGTCCTCTGTAGTACAGCTTTGTCGACAAGCACATAACCAGTGAGCAAAGTGTCAGTGGTTTCCCATTTGTTGGTCTTGACTTCCTTCAATTCAGGGTTGAGCAAATGGGCAGCATATTCAGGCTTCTTTTTGAGGATTTGCTTGTCTTTCTCCGGGATGTAGCTCCAAGGCGCAGTGAGTCGCAAAGTGACAAGGTCCTCCCTTTTTGTGAACTGTATTTTGCATTCAGTGATCTTCTCTCCTTCGAGCTTTGGAGTCTCTTTGTTGAGGTTCCCAACAACGGCTTCGATCATGGCAAGGTTGCCAATCCAAGGAAGGAGCAAAATCTGACAGGTATCTGGTACCTCATCCATCATAGTTTTCTTGGCAACCAAGAGCATGTTCTTGTTGATCTCCAAGTCAGCTGCCAAAGTCTGCAATTGCTTCAAATGTTGGACGTTTTTGACAATGCAAATTTCTCCTCTGGGCTTCTCTCCCTCTTCAAGAGATTTGGAGACAGCTTGCCATGTAGTTTGCAAAGCTTTTGGCCATCTTCTCGAGAGTCAAATCTGGGGAGTTCATCAATCTCCTTCTTGCCTTTATTTTTAGATTTGCCTTTTCCCTTTCCGCCTCCTTTCGCATCAACTTTGGCTGGAGTGCCATGTCCACCAGCTTTCTGTTCCTCGCTTTTTCCAATATGGCTCTTCGCTTCGTTGATCAGCTCTTCGACCTGTGGATAGGCCTCGTCCTTCACATTGGCTTTGATCAAATCTGCAAGTCTCTCCAAACATTCATTGAGATCTCTTTTCTTTTTGGTGGCGTTTGAAGCTCCGGCACCACCTCTGACGACTTCATCTGTGCTTTCATCTCCTCCTCCTCGCATCAAATGCAAGTCTTCGGATCCATCCTCACTGATGTCAGCCCATGATCTGTCATCTTTCTCAAAAAGCAAGCAAAAGGTGTTGATGATGGATTCCTGGTCTTTGTCATCGATCTTTGGCTCATCATCCAGATCAATGCGGTTGATGGTATTCTCAACGCCAGTGATATCGCTGTCTTTTGTGTCCTCATCTTCATCCTCCTTCGCAATCTCTGATTCATCGTCTTCCTCTGCGGGTTTCAAAAAGTGTGCAATATCTTCTTGGGAAGCTTCAAGAGAGGTTGATGGATCGTCAGCTGCATTCACAACTTCATGATCCTTTTGATCTCCTGGTTCCCTTCTTTTCTCGGTTTCCTCTTGTAGCAGGCCCAGGTCTGAGATCTCTGCGTTGATGTCAGACGTTGATACCCAAGTGGCATCAATGGGCGGCAAAAAATTGTTCTCGTCATTCTCAAAGGTGTGAAGCCACTGTACAAAGTCTTCACGATCCCATTCTGCTTGTTCAGCTTCAAGGACCCAACCTTTGATAAAATTTGGCATGCTAAAAAAGGAGTTGGTTTCAGAGTGCACGACGCTGACCACTTTGTCATGAAACTCGTCAGTGCCATCTGAACCGGCTGCCAGTGGCGGAAGTGAAAATGTCCACCTCACCCACGCATTCCTCAATGGTAACCACCTGGAAACCCTTAGATTCTGTGCACTTGACTGCAGCTGAAGATGTAGCCAAGACGTAGCCATCTATTTGGAAGGTCGGATTTTCCCAAACTCTTGCATGAACATTTCGCAAAGAGGAAAGTCAGCGAAGGAACGTGGCCAAAGACATCTTCTCAAAAGCTGATCCGACGGGATCTGCATATTCAAGCAGCAAGTCCAGATATGATCCCAGTGCGGCTGCTTGGTCCCGCACACATGGCACTCCGTGCCCGGTTTGTAGTGATTCTCAGCAGCATTGTAAGGGGACTGAACCGACCCAATCGCAAAGGCAATTCTGCGACCATCGATATGCTTGTCCCCTTTGATCCACTTTCGCATCAATTGGAATCTAGAAGAGCAAAATTCAGGAAGTTCGCATCCAGCAATTTCATGCCTCTCAGACGCAGCTAAGGCTTGATATTCTTTATATCTCATACTCATTCTGATCTCATGGGAAATTTTCTTCCATTTTGTTTGTTTGTCACCTCGTGCTCGTTGAATTTGAAGTCAAAGTATTGATGCTGCCAAGCGTTATCCTGATCTAAAAACCAACCAAACTCCTCCAGGCCATCATGCACCATCTGGTCCAGGTTAGTGCGACATCCCAGATTGTACTTCAGCAGCTCTTTGTTTCTATGCGCAAGCACATGCAATTGTCGTAGCAGGTTGGCTTTCTCAAAGTCAACGTGGCAGCTTCCCACAAGAGAGCGCAAGGGAACAGGGGCAAATCTGAAGTGCCGCAAAACTTTCCAAATGAGAATGTTGTACGCCGATCTCCTCTCTTTCGTAGGCAATCCAGAGATCCATCCATAAACCATAGCAGACTTACAAAAGACAGCGATGTCCCTCAGGCGACCTTTCCAACCGAAGGGCAGTAGAGCAACTCTTCTCATCCATTTCTTGGCTTTCTCAATTCGTTGTTGGTGTTTGGGGTAGGTGCCAAAGCCCCATTTCGCAGGCTTTCCAATGACAGTCCCAAGGACCTCCAGTGTTTTGCACTCCTTATCCAAATCAGCTTGCTGTAGTTTGCTCATATTCTCAAGAAGGTGGAAATCAAGCGAAAATTGGTTCCAAGCATTGACTGCGATCTCCAAATCAGCAGTGCATTCAGTTACAACAGTTCTGTCATCCATGTAGAGTCCCTGGTAGACTCGCCCTTGATACTCGCAGTTTTGAACTTTATAATAGCCATACCACAGTAGGAGACCTAAGAAGAGCGGAGACGCAGGATCACCTTGAGGGATACCAGTCACAGAAATGAACGGAGTCGAATGAGGGTGCTTATTGTAAACAATCCACTTTTGGCTGTTCCTCCATTGCTGGCAAATGCATTTAGCCCAAGGCACAAGGGCAGGAGGAAGCGCAACACAAAGACTTTTCTCTATTAGCTCAACATTGACAGTGTCAAAACATAGTTTATAATCCAACGTAGCAGCGCAGCCAAATTCATGAAAGATGGAATCAATGGCTGCAGCTTGGACTTCAGGACCGTGCCCCCCAAATCCAGACATCATATTGTGAGGCAGAATGGCCTGTAAATTCTTCACAAGGTCACATTGCACCCAAGTGGCGCTAAATGATCTCCACCACGCACTAAAAACCGTGATGGGTCGCAAGCAATCAGGCTTGATGCATCCATCTTGCACTTTGTTGGCTTTCGGCACGAAGCTAACTTTGACTTGTTTGACAATAGATGGGGTGATTCCAGATTCCATCCAAAGTTGCATTTCATCCCATACAAACGCGCAAGCAGGCACAACCCTAGCAAGGTATCTCAGTTCCAAAGATGTCCATTGATCAAGTCCAGGTCCACCCTTAGCTTTTGCAAGCTGCTTGGTGAAGAGAGCCAGGTCGGCCGGCTCACCACGCACTGAATGAAGGTTTGAGCAAAGAAAGGAAGCGAGTTCACCAGAGCGCTCCTCAAATTCACCATGATCCCAAGAAACATGACGGTGAAGCGTCATCCAATGTTCAAATAATTCAGAAGTGGCTTCAATTTTGGTCGTAGAAGCCCCAATGTCCTTAGCGATAGCAGGGTAAAGGCAGATCCTCTTCTTGGTGAGCCAGCACGCACGTGCACTGCAGTCACTTCTCATTCTAGCCTTCCATCTACGGAGGGCATTGGCCTTGTCCTCTTTCTCAAACTGCTGAATAATTCGACATTTTGAAGAACCTCACCAGAAGGGACCGAGTTGCTACCAAAGATCTTCCAAATCATTTGCCTGGTCTTATTGTCAAATCTACCAATGCTCAAATGTCGTTGAACTTCATATGCGCGACCAAGAAGGTTGCGGGCTTTCCTAATGGCCATGGGAATAGGTGCACGATTGACAGGGAAATCACGTTTAGTTCTGGAGACCTCACAACGGCCATCTTGGATCCTAGACGCCAAATGACTGATGCGCAAAATCTCAGCAATGTCAGTGTAGTCATCAGGCATCTCAAGGAGGCAAAGAAAAAATGCGACCCTAAACATAGTAAGCAACTTCAAGACAGCAAGGCGCCAACGAAAATCGATGATGGATTGCACTTCACTACATGTGTCATCAGGCGAAGCAGTATCCATCAGAGCGCAAGCTTCCATCCATTGTGAGTCATCGCAGATCAAAAAGGCCTCATTCAGTTTGTGCGTCCAGTCTTTGTTTTTCATCCAGTTTGGTTTAATAAATTGCTTCTGTTTCGCAAACCTATGCTCCATGTGGTTCTTGACACGAAGCGGGATATGGACCTCAATGACCTTGTGGTCGCTGACTTTTTCAGGTCTTGCTTCAGCAGTAGTGACACCGTCAATATTGGTAATAAAATAGTCAATGATCCTCCTACTTTGCCAACGCGTTGATCCAGAATTAGACAAGGTTACATGCCAAGCACCAAAGCCCTCGGCGACAGCTGCAATTTGCGCATCATCCCATTCTTCGTTCCAGGCACCTGTCCAAATGCTTGAACCATGCCACCTAACAGAGACAAGGAACTCTTCCATGAAAGTAGCGTGCGCAAGGATATTGGACTCATGCGGCGGAACATAGCTATTGACAATCAAGAGACTGCCAACTGCAGTGGCCAAAATAGAAGAACCCTCCTTCTGAAACTCATGCACAAAACAAGAACCGACAGAGTGCTTGATCAAAGTCACACAACCTCTGGTCATCGCACCACGTAAAACGCTCTCAGATGCATAAATGGTATATCCTAAAAAATCCAGTCTATTGATCGTATTCATCCAGTCATCGCTATTGCAGTAAATTTCCTGAGTGGCAATAATCTCAGGTCGTTCGCCAATCTTCAAACCCTCAAGGACTCCGATCAATCTCCACAAGCCCGGCAGACCGCCAGTGTTGATGCTCCAAATGCGTCCATGTTCATTCAACCAACGCATCTCATCCATTTCTTCAGCAACAGCTCCCCCACGCAGAGACAGAGCGTCGAAGTGCTCTTCAGATAGTCAATGCTGTTTAGTGTTCATGCCAAGCCGGTATGTCTTCACATCAGCGTTGGAAGACGTGGCCCTGAATGCTTTGACATCTTTCCTGATCTTCTTTGCAAGTTCACCCCCTTCTGGAATCGTAAGCAGCTGAAAGAGGTTGTTCAATCCATTGAGTCTGCCATATTTCTCCCACCACTTCGTGCCAGGAAAAATGCTTCCACCTTGCTTGTAACTGTCCTTGATCTTTTTGACACCTTGACATTTCTTCAAAAGCCCACCATTCCTATCATTGCTGCACGCAAGGCAATGCTGGCAAACCAACGTGCTGAAATCAGGCCAATTTCGATTTCGGCTATGCGGCAAAACAACCGGCTTGTGCCCTTTCTTCACGCCCATCTCCTTGCCCTTCTTCAAGTCTTTGATGACTTTCAAACGTTTTTCTTCACGCTTGTGCACTACAGATCTGCTCTTTTTCCAGTCGATATCCATCTGCCGCGCCGTAGAGCCCACAGGGGCCTTTGCGCAAACCTTCAGATGTTGCCTTTTTGTTTTCAATAAGATCTTCTGGTCATACACCTGTGTCGTTCCTTTAAGGCAATACGGACAAAAGAATGTGGCATCAATCTTTGCAATTGGCCTCAACTCCAAAGGCTGAATGAGTGGGTTGTTTCCCAACCCATGTCTCAATGCTGATCTGCCACTTCCTCCATTGATTGCTCCAGTCTCAAGGTTCTTCTCAACGGCTTTCATCTTCTCAATTCCATGAAACTTGTTGAGGTGCTGCAGGATGAGCTGGGACGCTTTGTCAGAGAATCCGATCTTACAGGTGCAAAACGGGCAAAACCAATCAGCGCGGATGCGCTTCTTCAAAGAGTGCTTGATGACTTTATTGTCGCTCTTCTGCATTCCATGTGCAAAGACGGAGTAGGGTGGTCATGGCTTTCTTTTTCCCACGCAAGTGTCCAGGCGTTTTGAACTTCACATCGTCCTTGGGCAAGAGTTGCTTCAATCCAATGACAGTCTCACCCTTGAGGATGCTGTTAAAGGAAGTGAGCTTGCAAAAGGACATGGCTTGGCTGCGTCTTTCAAACTCGGTGGCTCCACAGGCATGCAAACCTCCAAGGACCGCACGCTTTCGATTGGCAAGATGAATCTTCTCCTTCTTGCTCAGCTTCTTCTCATCTTCCTTTTCAGTTTCAGCATGCACTTTGTCTCCGATTTCAGAGATTGTTTGCTGCGAGCAAGATCTCAGTAAATCAAGAGCCTCATTGTCGTAAAAACTGCACTGCTTTGAAGAAGACCCCGAAGTCGAGCAAGTTCTCAACAGGTCCAGATCATCTCCATCAGTCTTCTTCCTGGAAGGTGTGGTGAATTTTCCCGCTCCTCTAAACATGCTAGTATCCAATTTTGCTTGGGATGCACTTTCAATCGGGTCAGTAGAAATGCCAGCAGTCTGCCACATGCAAGGTCCAGGTTTCTGCGCCCACTCCTTTGGCAGTCCACTTTTTTCGGATGTTCGAACCAAAGCGAAATAGTGGCCCCCAGCAAGCACCAGTCCAAGCACCGGTGCTTTTTCACTTTTCTCTTTTGGTTTCATAACCGCAATTTTCACCCACCCTGATGAGGTCATTCTCCAAATCGCAATGCAAACTCGTTTGAGGCAACAAATTGCCTGCAATCCAAAGTGACAAATCCATCTATTTTCTCGCGTGATCACCTGCTCAAATTCATTCAAAGTGGTAGCTGGGATTCCATCTTCAGTGATTTTGTTCCATTTGGGGTCAGGGCACCAGCTCTCCTTCCAAGAAGTGTCAATGTTGAGCAGGTAGTGCAAAGTTTGTGCCCTCAGTGCTTTTGACAATTGCTCCACTTTGGGTCTGATCTCGGACACCGCCTTGCGCCACTGGCAATTGGTCATCGCTAATTGAAAAGCTAAACAACGCCAGGCACAGTCGCCAGCACCACCCAAGTCCAAGGTTCTCGTGCCATCAGGCCCTTGAACTCCTCCAACAACCTTGCATTCATCTGCCACTTTCATTTTCTTCATCGGGGAAATAATGGCCCCCGCAGCTGTCTTCTTTCCTTTTCCGTTTTTCTCATCCTCAGGCTCCATGGAACTATCAGGAACAGTGGGTGCGATCTCAGGCTCAAATTTCAGCGTAGGAGAAATGGTAAACTCCGCATTCTCGTTGTACCACTTGTGTCTGCAAATGGATTCAGCATCTTTCTGCATATCTCGCTTTCCAATTGGCTTCCAAGGCACCAAGGTGATGTGCTTGGTCTTTCCGCTGCATTCCATTGTATAGACATGCTCATCACGTTCAGGTTCATGGAGATGCTTCGAAAAAAACTTCCATGGGCCATTCCTTGATCTGGGTTCAGAGGGAGATCCCTCCACATTCCATCCCTGTGCAGTCAGCCAATCTTTCAGGCTGTAGGTCCCATCCAACCAGGGGTACCCCACATAGCACAAGATCTCTCAAAATCACCTTCAGGTTTTTTGTGGATCCCAAGGTCACTCTTTCCTCCACGTCGATGAGCCATGGACACTTTGTTCTTGATGGCAAGCTCCTTGACACGCAAGAAATATTCCTCATCAGATTCATCAGGAGTGATGTCCTGGGCAAGTCTGGAGAAAAAGACTGCATTGAGTCCACTTTTGGAAAGGATCTCTTCGTAGTCATCCTCGCAGCAGTTCAAATAGCCTAT